TTTTTCTCGCCGGGGCCAGCATGGGCGGCCGCGCCAACTCGCCAGGTGTTGGCTCCGTCCCTGCGTGTACACTTCCATCACAAGAGGGGGGCCCGCGCATTTTTTGATTGGGCACGAGCCCCCTCTCTTGTGAGGAGCGTGTAAACGCCCTTGTACAATGAGGCTTTCCATCATTGCCATTAGCATCGGCTGTTGCTCTAGTGGTGGTAGCCGGAGTGGAATTTAAATGAAGCTTTTCATGATGCTGGTTTGAACGAAGTTAGATTTTATAGATCACTGCATATACCTTCGAATTCCACCACGAATATGTTCATAAAAAATGACCCATATCAAACCACATAAGGGCTGTATAGTGCTGGTGAAGTGAGGGCAATGGTGTTGCTTTTTGGGTGCTCCTTTTTTTCACTAAAGTAATGTTGTTGTAGGAGATGTAATATAAAGAATTAATCATTTTTTTGGTAGTTCCATTTTTGAAGGTTTCCAAGCAGATGATTGGCAAAGCAAATAGCTATATAATAATATATAAAATATTTGAAGTGGTGAAATTTCATGTTTGGAATATTTATGGGATGTTTAGGAGACATAATTTTAATATACTTCGACTTGTGATTTTAGTGTTTGAAGACATAAGCAGGAAGCTGGGGAAAGAAGGGTAAATGAGGTGATTTTCCATAGCCTCTGCCGACTGCTAAAACCAAGCAGCTAAACTATATATTCTTTCAGACTTTTCTCTTCTTTCTTTGGTTTCCGACTATACTCTTTTTTAAGTAGAAAATAGCTTGAAAAATGACTTTTTTGATGATTTGTTGAATGTGGTGGTAAGATGGTTACCATAATGATTTCCATAGAACTCCAATCTCTTGACCTAAAAAAATGTGCCAATAGAATCTCGACTTACTTCCCTTCATATAGATGTTACCAACACACTGGAATACCCTATTAGGAGTCCAAGGCAGCCAATCGAGAAAAGGGTCCAATGACTGTTTGCACTCTGACTATCAAGTAAATAGTCGAACAAGAAAGAAATAATTGCAAGAGATAGGAGTAGGAATTTGATTAGTGCTAGAGTGAACATTCCTTTGTGAAGTGAGTTCACATATGTATGGGGAAATGATAATGGGACAAGTGGTTAATGGATCCAGCCCAGACCCAATACGAAGTTGTTTAATTAAATAGTCCAATCAATTGAGTAGTCGATATCATGTCGATATATATGGGAACCCCTCCATCATGTACATGCCAAGTAATTTATAAGTTTAACAATATCAATCTATTGATCTAAAAAAATGCGCTAATTGAATCTTGTCCTACTCCCCTCCATGTAGATGTCATTTGTACACTGGAACACCCCGTTAGGAGGTAAAGGCCGTCGGTCAAGAAAAGGGTTCAACGACTGTTTGTACTCCGATGGTCAAGTAAATGATCGGACGAGAAAGAAATAAGTGCAAGAGACAAAAGATGGAATTTGACTAGGGTTAGAGTGAACATCCTTTTGTGAAGCGAGTTCACATACATATAAGGAAATGATAATGGGTCAAGTGATTAGTGGATTGAGCCCAAGCCCAATACTAAATTGTTTAATTAAATAGCTCAATTAATTGGAGAGTCGATACCACGTCGACATATATTGGACTCCCTTCGAGATGCACATGCCACATAATTCATAGGTATAACAATTTTATCCATGTATTATATTTTGTAATTGGTTGAGTATTTAATTATGTATCATTAGGAATTTAAGATTTGTAATTATCTTTTTATTTTCACCAGAGTTTACTCATTATCTATATTTTAGTTATTGCTTTAAATATAAGTTGTAAGTCTTAATGGTAGGGAGTTGTTAATTTTTACGTATTTATATTTAAAACCAACTTGTCCAAACTCTCTCTCTCCCCCTCCCTTCCATGAATCAAAGAGTTTGATGCCTAATGGTATTCTTACGAATCAAATCAAAGAGCTTGATGCCGAGATTTCTGGTATTCTTAGGAATCAATGAAAACTAGAAGGTTATCATGTTGCGGTGTTCATTTGGGAGAACATAATTTCGATAGAGTATTCATTTATTTATTTCTACTCTTTTGCAACCCGAAATCGATTGGTATCAAAGTGATTATTCCTGATAGAGATGAGTTGATCTTCATAAAATTCAATGGTAGAAGTTCTACTTTGGGACAAAATCCATTTTACTTCTTTCAATAATTCAACGATGGAGGAATTTTTGGATTTCAGTTACAATGATCCTCCAATCTTCAACGAAAAAATTGAAAATTTTGTGAATTTAGGTAATGATAGTTATGATGGTCCTTGAATCCTCCAATCTTCTATGCAGAAATTGTAAAATTTATGGATTAAGACAATGAAGATTATGATGGCATTTCAAACTTCGATGAAGAGCCAATTTTGAGATTCCCGAAGAGTGGCCCAACGAATTGGACATAAAATAGGAACACAACAAAATAATTGCTGAAGTGTTTGCAAATAAAAGAGGCAATTCAATCTTTTAGAATAATGCTTCCAAAATTACGTTCAACTTGGTTGGAGAAAGTAAGATTAGTTTCTGGGAAAGGAAGATTAATTATGGGGCTGCACCTGAAAGGACTAACAAGTATGCAACATCAATTTTGTTTATTTAGAAAATTGGTTCTACAGGCAATATTCGAGTATGGATCTTTTTGAATCGAAAGAGAATGATGAAGATTAAATATGTCTGGTTTCAATTTAATTTAGGTAACTTTATCTATGTATAATATTTCCTAAGTACTGCTATTTACATCCACAATTTTATAAATACATCCACTTTTAAAAAGATAATTATATTATATTTTTTAATCTTTTGTAAATTTACCTAAATAGACATATATAAAATTAAATACAAATATATTGCTGTAAATTCATCCACTAATGTTTATTTTCATACATTTTTTAAAACATTTTTATATTTTTTCAGAGTTTTTGTTTAACTAAAATTTTAGTAATCATAAAACATCATCTTTAACTAAAATCATAAAACTTTAATCATAAAATATCCTCTTCAAAGGAAAAAAAAAACACATTACTAGAGTTAAAGTATTGATTTGACGGATGAAAATATACGAGAAGTTTTAAAATAAGTTTCAATACTTGTTCTAATATTCTTACGTTGTAAAAAGAAACAAACTTAAAATTATTAATCGAAATACAAACAACCAAAATTATGAGTTTATAAGCAAAAAAAAAATTAATTAATATATGATTCGAGGATGAAGTTGTTTGATTGTGTGAGCAGTATACTTTTGTTTGACGTGGATGAAAATAATAATTTTTTAAAATTTTAATATTTTAATAGGTATGTATATAAAATGGGATGCATATATAAAAATTATGGATGCAAATAACGTTACCCTATTTCATTTATAATTTTTAGTATTTAGAATTTTTAATTTTCATAATTATCTGTTAATTTTCATCATTGTCTATAGTTTGGTCATTAATCAAATTTTAGTTATTTTTTTTTTAAATATGAGTCGTAAGCCTTAATGCTAGGGGAGTTAATTTTTGAATTAAATTATTAATTGTTGAGATTTTGTTCAATTTTTCAGAAATACCTAGTGTTTGTTATTTAAATCAATGAGTCGAGATTCTCTTTTTCATGTGCGAATCAAAGAGTTTGATATCTGGATTCCTAATATTCTTAGAAATCAATATAAACTAAGAAAGTTATCGTGTTGTGCTATTCATTTGAAATCAACGAAATTTCGAATGCATGATGGATAAAATCAAGCCCCTAAACTGATCTTATGGGTTTTCTTTTCTTTCTTTCTTTCTTTTTTTTTTTTTGAACGACAAACTATGTTTTATTAAAAATCTCGCTTATGGCGGAGGAAAACCGTAGTTACAATACTAAAAGGACAATCAAAATAACAAGTAGGATCTCACAAGACACCATTATCCAAAACTTCAAACTGCATAATTCACTTCCTTAAATAAACCACCCCCATCATATCTAGACAAAGTAAACCTCGAGTAATCCTTGGCAAATCAGTCCAGTTATTAAAACGTTTCGATAGGCCCTTAGCTCCCAATCTCGCTAGGCAATCTGCCACTTGATTTCCTTCTCTCCATTGATGTGTCACTTGGTAATCAAACATCGGTAATAACTCCAAAAGATCATCCCAATAGTCCCACAAATGCCATAAAGAGCATTTTCGGGATAGTAACCATGATACCACCAACAATGAGTCACACTCAATGTCAATATGATTTACCCCCAACTCACGGCATAACTGTAAACCTTCAATGAGTGCTTTCAGTTCAGCTTCATTTTTAGTCCCGTTACCAAAATTAATACTAAATGCTGAAATCAATTCTCCTCTTTCGTTTCTAATCACTCCCCCACCACCAATTTG